ATTATTGTTATTATTATTATTATTATTAATGTTATTATTATTACTATTATTATTTTTATTATTATTATCGTAGCTTTTATTTCAATATTTTATGGTGGTGTTAAAATTGTTAGACAGTATATCACTTCACTGTTTATACCAACATTATGCTACCAGTGCCAGATCTGAAAGCAAAATCACCGCAAGTGAGATAAAATGTCTCCGGAAACCCATTAACATCAATGGACGAAAAGTGGCGGAGAAATGAAAAAGTAAGAGCAGCTATAGTCACTGAGTCCTGTATGCATTTCATATAAAAACAGGGAATAAAATTTTTGGCCACCTTTTACGAATGTCACCTAACCAGATAGCCAGCCTCTAGAGCCCACAACACCAAGCACTCAGGCTTTAAAGGAAGAGGAAGGCCACGCAAAAGGTGGATTGAGGGAGTCAAGGAAACCCTGAGAAATTTTAACATCCCAACTGAAATAGCTGCGAAGCTGGCCTACTATTAAAAAAACACTAAATCTTAAGTTTAGTTTTCGTAGAGGTTTTACGGCGCTTGCAACTCCCTAAGGTCATATTAGCGCCAAAGAGTGGATGTCAAAAGAGAAGTCTTTAAGTGAACCATGCTTACTTTGCTCACCTCTCTAGCTTCAACAGCGCAGAATCTGCTTCGACTATTAAGGCAGCCTGGAAATAGTGGGGGTCACAAGAGTGTGACAAACATACACAAAAGTAGAGTAAAAATAACGATTGTAAGGATTAAGAAATAAAAAGCAGCAGTTCCCAGTTGAAGTTCAGGCTCAGCTATGAGAATGACATTGTCGAACTAGCCCATTTACAATTTACAATACTACTGAGAACAAGTTAAATGTCCCCCCTTCGGGACTGGCCTAAAAACACTTCAGTCGGGGGGTGTATGTGCGTGTATGGGTGTATGTGTGTGTGTGTGTGTGTGTGTATGTATGTACGTACGGGGGGGTGCATCTTTCTTAGAGGACTGCAACAAAGTATGAAAAGTATTGGCAGTTAACATCATTAGCTTTAGTTTGTATCACTTGTAACTATTACTATTAGTGTATGCGTGTCATCATTGTTCTTTCCATCAGGGGATCATGAGGCAGAGGAAGCAATCACTGACGCAATGCAGCAACTTGCTTCAAAGATTGCTGGGGATGTGAAAGAAAAGTTGCTGGAGAAGGCCAAAGTCACGGGAGGAACGAAGGGCAAGGGCACACCGAAACTGGAGGAAGCCATGAGAGGAGAGGCTTTTCAGACAGGTGAGGAAATTTGTATCACGTCGCGGTGGAATTAGGAACTCGTACATTTTGGGACATATGGAGCTGTTGGTATAATCTTAAGGCCTGTTCATTTGTCTTGTTTTCGATGAAAAATATAATATCAATTTATCTTAGATACAAGTCGAGACCCTGGCGATTGAAGGAGGAGGGGCTAACCTGGTTTCGAGGTAAAATTAGCGAAAAAAATGGCTGCCAAATTTTAGTTATTTCCCTAGCTTGAAAGTCCGTGAAAGCTGAAATTCTCCATCTTTTTAGCCTTTATTCAGCGTTTTCCATTAAAATCCACACAAAAAGTCTTCTTTAATGGGAATGAAAGGTGTTGGGCTAAAAAACAAAAATTTGATAAAGATTCCCAAACCTGCTGATAAATACCAGTTTCTTCTCTTTCATTATTTTGTCGAGCGCTTGATTTCCCCACGTTCACTCAAATTTTGTTCTAGTTTTGTTGCCAAACATGCTGTGGGTGTTTGTCGTCATTTTTGTCGTTGTCGTCGTCGTCGTCGTCGTTTTTGTGCATCTTTTTGTGTAATTAATTTTTTAAATAATGGCACTATTTTGGGCCAAACGTATACGATTTCGGTATAATAATAATAATAATAATAATAATTGCATTTATATAGCGCATACCCATGCTCAAGAGCATGCTCTATGCGCTTTACAACTATTATTACCCCAGCAGACCCCCTGAGAACACTCAGAAACATTCTCGGCTTCCGCGGAAGCATACAGTGCAAGCTGCGGATTTCACGCGCTCAAACACTATCAAACTGACAAGATCGTTCACTGTCTATAGCCGGGTACCCATTTCCACCTGGGTGAAGTGAGGGAAAATTGTGCAAAGTGCCTTTCCCAAGGACACAACGTCGGGCCCCTGACGGGATTCGAACCCACGACCTTACGATTGCGAGTCCGAGAGCCTAACCACCAGGCCACCGACGATAATAAGGTCAGAATTTTGTGGGATTTGAATAAGTGTATTTCTTTTTTTGCTGTCCGCCAATTTTGCAGGATCCGATCGAAAACAGCGCTATAATCTTTTCAAGTGAAACAACGTCAACCGTTGTATTTCATGTTTTGGTTTTTTTTTGGTTGTAATTGCTATATTTGTAACAATAATTTTCCTGTAGGATTTCATAACTGAATGATTGGAAAAGAAATGTTTTGAGGAAAACGAAAAGTTGTTTCTACAAAGTCTTTTGGGTGGCGAATGTCTTGTTTCTATTTCTGGCCCTTCCTGTTTTTGTTTAATCTTTGTCTTACTTTTCGTTTCGATAAATTCATTTATGTACTGTTTTGCTTGTCTGCTAGGTGATGAGCCCGCTTCCTCCATGTACGGATTTCTCAGTTCCATGAAAGAGGAAGATGCCAAAGAGCAGGGCATGACGAAGAGCCAAAAAAGTCCAGGATCGAAAAAATCAAAGGATGACAATCAACAAAAAGGTTCGGAGACAAGCAGGACCGACCAGAGTGGTTTCCTCCTTCCCCCAAGTCCACTGCTGGACAAGAAGAAAGGGGAGAAAGAGGAGAGAATTATCAAGATGGCGAGTGAAGGCGGCGAGGACAAAAAGAGAAAAGCTCCAAGACCTCAGTGGGCAAGGTTCCGCAGGGGTCGTCAGGGAGTTCCGACAAAGGCTAAAGAGAACATCGCCAAGAAAGATCCACAAAGTGACGCCCAAACATCGCTGACGATTTCTAAACAGGAAACTGGGGCTGAGAAGGCTTCTGTTGTTTTAGGAGAAAGAAAAGAGGGTAAAATTGGGTCGTCAGTTGGTGCTGCTGCTTCTGATACGTCTGTTTTGTCATCAGTCACTAAAAATGATAATGACAACGGAAAGCAAGCCGATGTCATTAAAATTGAAACAAGAAATGACATAATTCGTGTCACAGGAGTTGTTGAGAAGGGGGGCGAAGAAGAAACAGACGGCAATGCTTCATCTACCACTGCAAGAGAAAAGGGTGGGGACAAAGAGAAAATGAAGGCTTCTTCTAAAGAGAGGACATTCGTTCCAAAGAGAAGAACGTCAAGACCGAAAGACGTGTCTGAGGACACCGCAGATGAGAGCGAAACAACGCAAAGAAGTGAAAACCGAACTCGTGCAGCTTCTGAAGAGAGATACAAAGCAAAGGCATTTACGGTAATCACATTCCCTAAACCGAAACCTCGAAAGAAAAAAGACATAGACGAGCAGAAACAAGAACCCAATCTTAGTAGGAGATCTTCGGACAGATTTATTGGTTTGCATCCAAAGAAAGTAGCGGGGCGAAGGACTAGCATGCCTAAGGAAGATCAGGAGGAAGAAGAAATGAGAATAGTGAAAAAGACGCCTAGATTTGTTGGATTGTCACAGAAAGACGCTCTACGAAGTGAAGAGGCTCGACGCAGAAACTCTCAACAGGATGATGGAGACGAAAACAAAAACATGAAATGGGTTGCAAAGACTGAGAGGTTTATTGGACTGAGACCAAGAGATGAAAGCAGAAGCGATTTGTATGATAGAAGATATAGTCAAGATGACCTAGACAAGGAATCAGTGAAAAAGACTCCAAGAACAGAACGGTTTATAGGACTGAAACAGAGGGGCGGGGAAGGTAAGAAAGCTACATGTACTCATAATTTGTTTGTGGTAGGTCTTTTTCGACAAATTCCAGTACTTTGACATTTCAACCTAGGCATAGTGATTGCATAAGACAGTATCAGAGACAAAGTTTTATGAATAAGAAGAAGCTTTTACACCTAATAACTCCTTGGGATCCGTAATAAATCTGTACTACTTCTGTAGATAAGGGGCCTCAGACTTTTGATAATGAGGTAAGGAAGGAATTGATTATGTTCTTCACATTTGAAAATTAAAGGAGAGAGCTTAATTCGCGTACATATGAAAATAACTAGTTAAATAGAAACAAATAACTGATTCTGATCACCTGTGTTTTAAGGGTCATTTGGATATTCATGTATGCATGTTTGTGGTGTATGCATGAATGTATGTACGTATTTTCGCATACATACTCATAATTGCATGCATGGGTGTATGGGGGCGACATGTATTTTACTTTTGGGGCACTCAATGTCTACATTATTAAATAAAACATGGATTTCCACAGTTTCCATGGGGATCCCTCCCTCGATCCCCAAGCTGGCAATAACTGGCAGCAAAAAAATACAAGAAGTTGGCCAGGATACAGAAGAAGACTACGCTGACGACGAACCATCTTCCCGTGTCTTGACTGTTATAAGTACGTACGATTGGCGCATAGCTACCTCGGAAGTTCTGTCTGCTCAGTTATTAGTTTCAGGAAATTTCACGTCAATATTTCTCAGTTTCACAATTATTTTCTTATCACTTTTGAATGCAACTGTTTCCATGTCTTAATAACGACTCCGAATATTCTTACGATTTTAATAGGGCAGACAGAGTATAATTTTCTTTTTGACCTCATGGGCGTAGTAACTCAAAGCGGCCAACATTGTTAGATAGAAATTTGTAATTCTAAGGCAGCGATCTTACTTTGCTGTCGGTAAGTGGGATTTATTTAATGTTTTAGAACCATTCAATATTATCTGTAATTATGTTTTAAGAAGGATTTTAAATTTAATAACGGACATAAAATGCCAATATAAAGTTAAACATATTTCAAGTTATCAATGCACAGTGTACATTTCAAGGCATCAGTACGACTCGTTTACAAATCTCAGAAATACTACTTAAAACTGCATCAACCATGTTTTTTTGTGCTATTTTATATAATGCCATGAATACCTTGAAAAGATAAATCCTCCCTATCCCCTTCCTCTCTGTCTTGTCTGTCGGTCTGTCTTTTAGTTTGTCTGTCTGTCTGTGTGTGTGTCTGTCTGTCGATCAGTTTGTTTGTTTGTTTATCTATCTGTCTGTTTGTCTGTTTGTCTCTCTCTCTCTCTCTCTCTCTCTCTCTCTCTCTCTCTCTCACTCTCCCTCCCTCTTTTAGCCATCAATTTTTATATGAATAACATTATTTTTGTAACGTCAACTAGGGCTTTGTAACAACATATTTTGCACTCTCATATTTTTCTTTCACATTCATATTTACTCTTTGTTAAACCTTTAAACACTTCTACGCTTGAAAATACCCACATGAAAATTACACGTGAGACTTTATTTGCCTCTGACACTTTTATTCTCCCAGGGGAAGTCACAGGGATGAGCCTGGCTGACATGTTCAAAGATGACGTTGGAAAGGAAACCGGATCGTCGTCATCGCAAAAGGAACTCAAGGCCCTTAATGAGATGGTCAAGGTAAATTGAAACATGTAGTTGGATATGATGCACCCCAAGAACACTGTTTTCTTTCTTTCTTTTTCGTTAGTAAGTGTTTTACGGCCCTTGCAACACAATTAGGTCATAATATAAGTGCCGATCACTCGTGTGATTCTCGAGGCCCTGTCCAAGAGACAGGAGAGCAAAGAATAGGACCACTGTATTCGTACCGCCGGTGTCGTAGATGGCGACTAAGGTCGCTTGGGTAAAGGGTTAACTGCCCTTTCCCGTAAAACAAAAAAAACAGCTACAAAAATATCAACAGCATAAGCAACACGACTACCAGTTCTGGAAGATGGAGCACCTTCATCACCGAAGAGGGGAGAGAAAATGGAGTGTAGAATGACGCAGGGTGCTGAAAGCTGAAAGACAGCCACCAAGCTGAGAAGCTAACTGTCGACCACCAGACTTGGAACCTGGAATGTTCGTACAATGTACGAGGCAGGGAAGGCACTGCAGGTTGCAAGAGAGATGGAGGCCTACCAACTGGAAATATTCAGTCTTTGTGAGACGAGATGGAGGAATGCAAAGGAGTGCTCACTTGCTTCTGGGGAAACAATTCTCTACTCTGGACATCTGGAGGAAAACTCGCCTCATACAGAAGGAGTAGTTATTCTGTTATCAACATACGCCAAGCGGGCTTTGGTAGGATGGGCAGCAGAGGGTCCGCGACTAATATCAGCTATATTCCGTTCACAGAAGAAAGACATCAACCTTCATGTTATCCAGGGATATGCCCCCACCAACGATAAGGACCAGGATATGAAAGAGACTTTCCACAAAATGTTATTGATCTGGTTATAAGGAAGGACATTTTGATTGTAATAAGAGACTTCAATGTTAAGGTTGGCAGTGACAATGCAGGCTTTGAGGAAATTATGGGGAAACACGGACTTAGAGTCAGAAGTGAGAATGGAGAACTATTTGAGGAAATATGTACAATAAATGGGCTCATGATAGGAGGAACTGTTTTCCCACATAAACAGATACACAAAGCAACATGGATGTCTCCAGACCAACAAACTGAAAATCAGATTGACCACATTTGTGTCAACAAGAAATTCAGGAGATCAATAAGGGATGTTGGAGTTTTCAGGGGTGCAGACGTAGCTTCTCACCATCATCTACTCATTTCAACAATCTGACTAAAACTAAAGCAAAGACAGGGGATTGTCAATCATAGGTGCCGGTACAAAGTGGAACTTCTGAGAGAGCCACCGTTAAGAGAGGAGTTTAAAGTAGCAGTTAAGAGCAGGTTCCTATTGTTGGAAACACTTGGCGAGGATAGCAGCGTGGAAGAAACATGAGAGGCAATAAAAGAAAGCTGGACCACTGTGGGCACTAGCTGTGGATATATGCCACCCCTCTGAGGAAGATAGAGGCCCGGAAAAAGAAAAAGGATCAGGTAAACAGGAGCAAGACAAGAGCAGCCAAAGCAAAGGCCAAAGAAGAATACACCAAAGCAATGAAGGATGTAAAAGTCAACATACGGAAAGACAAAAGAAACTATGTAGATGTCCTGGCGCTCGAGGCAGAGGAAGCAGCAGGGGCAGGAAACTTGAGAGGACTGTATGAAACAACCAAAAAACTTGCAGGCAGATACAAGTACACAGATGTGCCAGTTAAGGATAAAGAGGGAAAGCTTCTCACAAATCCAGACGAATAGAAAGAATGCTGGAAGGAGCATTTCAAAGAGCAGCTGTTGAACAGACCAAGGCCAGAAAAACAGTTTGACATTCCACCAGCTGAGATTGATCTGGAGGTGAGTAGAGAAAAGCCCCGTTTAGAGGAGATCAAGGAGGCGATAAGAAACCAAAAAGCTGACAAGGCAGCCGGCCCAGATGGAATTCCCCCAGAAGTTCTCAAGGCGAATATCGACACTGCCGCAGGGATTCTTCATGACATTTTGGCAAGATATGGGACGGAGAAGGATTTCCACAGGATTGGAGAAAAGGATTGCTTGTGAAACTACCCAAGAAAGAGGACCTGCATGAGTGTAAAAACTACAGAGGAATCATGCTCCTGTCCATTCCGGGGAAGATTTTAAGTCGGGCCATACTGGACAGACGGAAGGAGGCCGTGGATGTAAAACTAAGACAAGAGCAGGCAGGATTTCGTAACAAGAGATCGTGCACATATCAGATTGCAACTTTAAGGATAATAGTGGAGCAGTCGACAGATTGGAACTCTTAACTGTACTTTAATTTTGTTGACTACGAGAAAGCTTTTGACAGCCTAGATAGGGACTCAATATGGAAGCTCATGCGCCACTACGGAATACCTGACAATATCGTGAGATTTATCAAGAAGATCCATGTGAGAATGAGCTGCAGTGTCTTATTTGGAGGGCAACGGACAGACTCGTTTGAAGTGAAATCAGGAGTGAGACAGGAAAGCCTGTTATCGCCTTTTCTCTATTTATTAGCAGTGGATTGGATAATGAGATAGACAACATCAAGACAACGCTGTGGCATACCGTGGACCCTTTCCAGTCAGTTGGAAGACTTGGACTTGGCACTTCTTTCTCACAGTCGAGCCCAGATGCAATAGAAGATAGATCGCCTCAGGACCTTCTAATAAAGTGTGGGACTCCATATTCACATGGATAAAACGAAAGTTTTTAAAAATGAATGCAGCCGACGTTCCTATCCACTACAAGAGGCACCATTGGCAGATGTTGAATCCTTCACCTACCTTGGAAGTGTCATCAACAAAGCGGGGGAAAACATAGGAAGACATCAAGATCAGAATCCAAAAGGCAAGAGCAGCATTCATAATCCTCAGGAAAAATGGATGTCTAATGAATTAGGATCGAACACCAAGCTAAGTATCTTCAAAACAAACATCTGTTCTATTGTATGGTACATAGATATGGAGACTCACAGCAGCAGCAGCAGCAGCAGCAGCAGCAGGAAAACTGCAGAGCTTCAAAAATGGATGTCTGAGAAGGATAGTGGGGATCAAGTGGTACGATCGAGTCACAAATGCTGAACTGAAGGAAAGAACAAGCCAAAGGCCAGTAAAGGAAGATATACAGGTTAAGAAATGGAAATGGATCAGGCACACCCTGAGGAGACCCCCGACAAGCATCATCAGACAGGCTTTGACGTGAAGTCCACAAGGGAAGCGTAAGAAAGGGAGACCAAAAATTACATGAAGGCGAGCGGTACAAGCGAGAATGGAAAAGGCTGGGACATCATGCAAACGGCTAGAAAATGATGCACAAGAGAGGCTTCGCTGGAGAAATGTTGCTGATGGCCTATGCTCCACTTGGACTTAAAAAGGGCGAGAGAAAGAGAGAGAGAGAGAGAGAGAGAGAGAGAGAGAGAGAGAGAGAGAGAGAGAGAGAGAGAGAGAGTGATAGATAGAGAGACAGAGACAGAGACAGAGAGAGATAGGGAGAGAGATAAGTGACGATGATTAGAGCTGTTGCAAGTAACAAACACAAAATAGACGAGGGGTAAGGACAATAGATGTTTAATAGGAAAGAAGAGGGTTCCTTCTTTTGATTATCGCCACACTTTGTGACTAGCCTCGGGGATGTACTGAGCCGTGTTATGCTCTTCACTGTCGCACGTAGTAGACCCGAGTTCAATTCTCGAGAGGGTAGAACATTTTTATCAAGTGTCTCGTTTGTTTTTTCTTCTGGGATGCTGTATTGCTTTAAGCCTGGGTTGGCCTGAGAGGCATTGTTGGAAGCTCGCCTCCTAAATGTTCTCAATTTGTGCATAGCGGTCTCGGCACCTTTTCCCCCCATTTGTACATTTCCCGAAACTGCTGCAGTTGTCGTGTGTATTCATTTTATTATTTTTTTCTTCAAGCTGAGATATTGTTGTAATTATTGTTGTTGTGGTTTTTGGAGTTGTTGTTTCTTCGTCTGCTGCTGCTGCTGCTGCTGCTGCTGCTGCTGCTGCTGTTGTTATAGTTTTTAGTGTTGTTGTTTCTGTTGTTGCTGTTGCTGTTGTTGTTGTTGTATGTTTTTGCTTTTGATTTGTCGTTGATTATTATGCTGTTCCTTATCATTTTATTAAAATAGGCTTTTTCGTTTTCTTCCTTTGTAAACGCGGGCCTCCTTTTATGTGTGTGATCCTGTGTACGTACATTTAATATATCCGAGTCTGTAAATGGCGTTAATTACATGTTTTAACAAGTGAGATGCATGTACAAAGAAAGATGCATAGACCAAAGAAAACACACACGTATCATTCTTGTTTTACACAGTGTTTCAATATCAAAATAGCCCACAAAAGTACAATATAATCTTAAGAGGAATTTGGAACACATGGCATGTGTAATCTATAGACTAAATGGAAAGTTACTTCAGCAAAACAGCGTATACAATATCACGATACAAACACATTATTTGTGGTCACCCCATCGTTTACCCGTATTTGTGTATTTCAGCTTGGGTCAACGTATTTTAAGTCAAAGACATAATACATACCTATACCTACTTAAAACAAAAACAACAGCAACAAAAAAATGACTACATAATTTTCAACAGGTATCTCTTCGCAAAGACAGCAAAAAGTCCGAGAAGAAATCCCAGGATCTTGAACTCAGAGAGAAACGCATGCAAGAGGAACAGGATCGGGAGGTGGCCATTAAACGAGCCAGGCGGAAGCGGTGGTTACAGTCTAGAAAAGCGAGTTTTCTACTTATGCTGAACTCGCCATACGCTGAGGTGCATTCAGTACAAGGTCGGAGCTATGAGAACAACTCTGAGGAGAGCAAAAAGCGAAAGCCCAAAGCGAGCCCGAACAGCGAGAATGAGAACCAAATGTTCGGCAACCTAGAGGAATACATCAATAAGAAAAGATCCCAGAAAGACGTTGAAAAGACTCCAAGGGGTAAAGGATATGAATCTGATGGAGCGACTAAGACGGGACGTTCAACTACCAAAGGTACCGGAGAGAGCCCCTCTATGAGTAGAAATATGATGGGTGGGAAGAAGATGGAAGAGGAAGACAGGGCGAAAAAAAGAAGGGCTGAAGCTGAGGAGCAAGCGAAGGCGTCAAAAATAGAACTGGCTCTGGAACACGCAGAAAGAGAAATGAAAAGGAAAGAAAGGGAAGTTAGGAGGGAGATTCGATTAGCTGAGGAGGAAGCAATAAAAATGAAACGGAAGGAAGAGAAAGAGGAGAGAGAATGGAAGAAAATGGCTCCTAAAGAATCATTTAACACACCTTATAATAAAATCCAGTCCAAAGTCGAAGTGATGGATAAAAAGGAAGACTTTGGAGAGGAAGAAGAAAGACGTTGGATGATGGAAGAGGAGAAAAAGCTACTGATTGCGAAGAGAAGACACCGGAGGGAGAAAGAGTTAAGGAGGAGGGAAGAGGAAGAAAAGAGAAAGAGGAAAATGGAGGCTGCTGAAAAGAAAAAGGTAAGCAAACAGGAACCGAATAAAAGATATTGAAAGGGAAAATGAGTGATTGACAAACGCTGAGTTCTAACCATAACCCAGAGTGATTGGCAAACTTGTCAATGTTGACAAAGTTATCGACAGATTCTTGCCAAATTTAGGCCATGATATGGTAATAGGTATGAAAACCTTCTTTTTCAAAATCTTCAAATGTTTTTCTATGTTGAAAACCTTTACAAAAAAAGAAGAAGCAAACTTCTTACATCTCTTTCTCTAAGACGCAACTAAAGGTAAATGAAATTGTTATTTGAGCTGAATAAACGACTATGTTCTAAACTTTCCCATTAAATAAAAGCGCTAACAACTTGCAGATGGGTAAGAGTACTTAAAGAAATATCCAAATTTGACAAACTTCGGTTTTTAGTTGAACAGCTTCTTGAGGGTCATGATGTAGTTATGTATTATGAAAGAGAAGGAAAAAAAATCTATGACAAAATGTGTGCATTTGTCTGGCTGTATGTTGTTAAATAGTCAAATAAAAGTAAGGATCATTTTTACCCTGCATTGTTTGGCTTTGTTTTGGCTTCCCACTTCGCTTGTTTCCACTCATTTCTTACGTGTGCGTTTTCCTGGTCACCAAGACTTTCCTCAAAATCTGTTCACAGCCACACAAATGCACATCTACCCCTCCCCTCCCTCCCCTCCCTCCGCCCAACGTACACACTGACAGCTCTGCGTTAAAAAATCAAAAGAAGTCCAAATTGTACTTTTTGCCGTAACTTGGAACATGTTATCTTTGCTCAGAACATAACGCCCCCTTTCCCAAAAAAGTATTTGCTGACTAGTTTTCTAAGAATTGCCACGTCGTATTACTCCTCTTCAACACACTTCGGATGTTTAGACGCTTGGGCTTTAAATGTGACTTATACTTAAATTAGAAGACAAAGAATGCCGTTCTGGGACGAGATATTCAGAAGGCAAATTTACCACACCACACTTACGAGGATTACACCCTGTTGGCTTGTAGGGGGTGCACACTATTATGAGCGGATCGGGTCGGGTCGGGTCTGGTCGGGTCGTTTTCTGGTGGTTTCAGTGTACACTACAACCCCGCTGCGATTGTACCCGACGACCTCGAAGTTACAGTAGAGAAACTTTTAACCTCAATGGCTTCCAGGGGTCCGCAGTTCCCTGTCGCAGTGCTGCGGCAGCCTGGATTTCCATAAAAATGGTTACAATAGTTACATCGATAACTTTCTATTATCAAATATCGTTCATAAGAAGATAGCTCTAATTCTCTGGGACAAAACAGTGTCCGCGGAAGTCTGTGCATTGGTTCAGATGGTGTTGCAGTCTTTGTTTTGAAGCTCTCTTTCGTTCCTCCAGAAGAAGAATAGGAATATCACAGTTTGTTAGTTTCGCTTTTATTGTTTTTCACACAAGTAGGGTAACTCTGTTCGCAAAGTTTGCACTTTTTTAAAGAGGGCGCCACCGAATTTTGAGTGTCAATATGGACACATGACTCAGCCTTGTTGTGATTGGCTGCAAACCATCCGATCCCGCGATTCGCAAGCCTGAAAAGAAAATCGTTTGATTTTGTAGGTCACAGACCGAGTTGATCAGTTTGTGCCACGATGGCCGCTTTGCACCCTCAATATGGCTAGCATCGACTACCAGATCGACCCGACCCGACCCCGCCCAATCACGTATGTGGGCGCCTCCTATTATATAACTGGCTGTGTTGTCATGCACGATTCTGGGAACATTGAAACAGGGAAAATATTGATTTCTGTATTTGGGGTTTCTTTCTCGGTTAAGATCATGATTCATTGCACATTTGCTTTTGGAGCACGCTATGACTTCGCACCTTCTTATCACCTCCCTCCTGCCCCCTTCCCCTTTTCAAGCTTTTTGCTTCCACACAATGGAAAAGTTGTTCTAATGCTTTAAACGTTTATCTTCTGCTAGGCAAAGTTTAATACATGTATTTTACACTCATAAATCAATGAAGGGGTTAGTACACGACTAACACATGTATAAATAAATTGTATTAAAAATGAAAGTTCATACTGCCTGGCATGCACATCCCGAAACAATTTTGTTTAAATTTACGTACGAAATAATAGAATACAGAATACATAAATCAGGCTCAGTTTTCCACTTATAGATGTAAGAGTAAAGAAGTAAAAGCATTTTTAAATTATTTTTTCTTTAAATTACACGTAACACTTTCTGAATGTTGGCTTCAGTAATTGAAACAAGTTTCATTGTGTTTAGGGTTTTTAAACGCTGGTTGTATCATGAACTATGACCGACCTTGATACTGGTGTTACAGAAAAGGACTCATTGGAACGCTTTAAAAACGGGACAAAGGACGAAAATAGATAGCATTATTTGGTACAGGGTGTATATATAATTACAATTAGTGGCATATATCGTTTACAAGCTGTTTAATTGTTCAACCCCCGAAAGCTAGACATTTTCAAAAGAGTTGAAAAAACTGTATATTCATTATTCAAACAATTATACCTATATTATGTATGTTTTCTTGTTTATAAAAATCGTTAAGATGTGAATTTCGATAAAATATTTCCTAAGCTCATGCAAATAATTCCACGGATTAAGAAACTGCAATTTAAAAACAAAGGATCTGGGTTCAGTTCACCTGAACAGCTGGCCGATGTGTGTTACTTGGCATGGGCAGATGGGTGGTTGGCAGGTGATCTGGTGTGGTTTGCTCCTTCTTTCATATCAAAATATATCTATCGTCCTTTCCTCTCCTCCTTCCTTTCTTTGTGTGGTACTCTCAAGTCTTTGGCACTAAAATGGCCAATTTGTGCGGCGTGTGCCTTAAAACTCTTATAAGAGTCAAAGAGGTGAAAATAGAAGAGTTGAAAATTCAAACTCGTTTTTTTTTTGGTTTTGGTTATCTACCCTCAGAGATTCAAGAATTCTCCCAATTTCCGCTCCGAGGACACTGAAACTGCGAACGAAGATGAAGAAGAAGATGAGGATGAAGTAGACTCTGAAACTACCCCGATATCGTTGAACAAAGAGACAACAGCCAGGACGGAAAAAAATGAAGTGGTTATCTCCAAGAGCGATGATAAGGACAAGACGGAGAAGGGTGAGAGGGAAGAAGTGGTTGAAAATGCAGCGAAAGAAATAAGACAAAAACCTGTCAAGAAGTTGGAGACAAAGGAACGAGGAAAGAAGAATGATGAGGTAACAGAAAAAGACGTGGTGGAACGGAAGAAAGAAGAAGCGAAAGCAAAAACTCCGGAGACAGAACAAAAAGATTATTCAAAAGATACAATGCACGCAAAGACTACACATGACCCTGGAACAAATGAGAAAATGAAACTAAAACCTTTAAATAAAGAACAAACAAAATTTGAACACACAATAAAAAAAGACAGCAAAATATTGCCTGCGAAGAAAGAACAAGCAAAAGAAACATCTCCTGTTTTGAAACAGGATTTTGATGGGAAGACAACCAAAGGACCAGAAGCACAACCGACCAAAGAAACAGAGGAGACGAAGAAAGAAGTACCAATAAAATCACCGAGGAAGGAATTGGATACAGACAAAAAAGACATTGGCAGAGAGAAGAGTAAGCTGCCAACAGGCAAGAATAAATATGAATGGAAACAAAAATCGACAAACCAAAAACGAACGGATGATGAACAAAATAAAATTAAGAATGACAAGATAGAGAGGAAGGACGGAGAAAATATGGAAATAGCTCCAATCTTGGAGGCAAATGATGGACAGAAGCAAAATGAGATTGCTAAAGAACAAGGAAAACCACAGATCAAACAAGAGCAAGAGAAGAAAAAAGAAATGACGGTAATATCACAAAGAAAGGAAACACATGAAGACGGAAAAGTTGTTGGTAGAGATAAGAGTAAGGTGCTCAAAGAAAAGAAAGTTGAAATAAAACAAAAATCACCAGACAAAGAAACAACAGCTACTGAAAAGGAGATAAGTAAGAGTAAAGATATGAAAAGAAATGAAGAAAAACATAAAGAAGCGTCTCCAATTTTGCAAGAAACTGGTGACAGAAAGAAAGAAAGTGAGATCGCTAAAGAGCAAGATAAACAGAAGACGAAACAAATAGGGGAGGAGAAAAAAGAAGTGACATTAAAATCACCCAGGAAGGAAATGAATGTGGACAGAAAAGAAGTTGGCAGGGAAAAGAGTAAGGTGCTGCAAGAAAAAAAGGTTGAAATGAAACAAAAATCATCAAACAAAGAAAAAACAGATACGAAAGAGAGTACTATTAATAGTAAAAAGATGGATGGAAAGGAAGACGAAAAGGAAAAAACGTTCCCCTCTCTGAAAGAACCTTGTGACGGAAAGAAAGACACTGAGATTGCTAAAGAGGAAGAAAAACAACAGACCAAACAAATGGAAGGAGAGAAGAAAGAAGTAATGATAAAATCACCAAGGAAGAAAATGAATGCAGACAAAAAAGACATTAGCAGAGAAAAGAGTAAGGTACTCCAAAAAAAGAAGGTTGAAGTTAAACTAAATTTTCCAGACGAAGCTACTGGAGAGAAGACTAGTAAGAGTAAAACTATGGAAAGAAAGGAAGAAGAAAAAGAAGACATGTCTCCAATTTTGAAAGAATCTGGTGATGGAACGAAGGAGGAAGAGATTGCCAAAGAACAAGGGAAACAGCAGACCAAACAAGTAGAAGCCAAGAAAAAAGAAATAACAGTAAAATCACCGAGGAAGGAATCGAATGCAAACAGAAAAGAGGTTGGCAGAGAATCGAGTAAGCTGCCAACAGGCATGAATAAAAACGAATCGAAACAAAAACCAACACTCAAGGAATGGACAGATTCTAAACCGAAGACAAGCGAGAGTGGAGAGATGGAAGGAGAGAAAGAAATAATGGAAGGGACGTCTCCTGTCAAGCAACAGCAGGAAGAAAGAAAAAAGAAAAGTGAGATTGTAAAGCCAGAAGGAAAGCACATGGCAAAACAAGGGGATGGGCAGAAAGTGAAAGTTCACACAAGTCCACGTGTTGGTAAACAGGGAGGTAAGGCAGATGGAGTGAATAAACGACAGATGGAAGAGGACACAAAGAGAACGACTGGAGAGGTTGTTACAGAGACGAAGGAAAAAGTGCACGACATGTCTTCGGACAGAGAGGAAGCTGCAGACGAAAAGAAGACGGGTAAGACAGTAAAGGAAGCTGGGAAACCTAAGAACGAAGAAGCGAAGGAAAGGAAAGAAGACAAAAAAGAATTAGCTACAGACAAAAAGAAGATGATGGATAAGACGAAAGTTAATGGGGCTGTAGGGGTTAATGTAAACAACGAGAGTAAACATGATGGAGTGAAACAAGAAAAAGTACAAGAAAAATCCGTAAACAAAAATCAGAGAGAAGAAGAGCAAAACAAGACGAAACAAGCAGAAGCTAAGGAAGCAGGCAAAATTGAGAGTGACAAAAAGATCGTGGAGAAAAAAGAAATGAAAGAAACCTCTAAAGTCAGAGAAAGAACAATGCAAACGACAAAGAAAAAAATATCATCAGCTGCAATTGTGGCAAAGGAGGGGACTAAAGTGGAAGAAAAGATGAAAGAAGATTTTAAACAAAAACCTCTAAAGAGGAAACTACCTAACGATGGGAAGGCAGAAACGGAAGATGAAAACGAAGGAGAAAAAGAGACACAGCAACAGATGCCAGAGAAGAAAGATAAGTTTAAAGGAAATCCTCTAGCACAAGACTTGCAAAGGAGTGAAAAGAAAAAGCCCAAACTGTCTGAAGAGACAGAAAGACAAAGGGTAAAAACTGGCGCTGACAAGAAAGTAGAAACAAAAGAAAAGTCTTTACAGAAAAGACGGGCTGGTGTTGCAAGTAAGAAAAACAAGTCGACCACTGATATTGTAACGCAGAAGAACATCGAGGTGATTGATAAGACAGTAACAGTTCTAGATACGTCTCCTCTCAGTGAATCAAAAGGAGATGGGAAGAAGAAAGAAACGCCTGATAAAGACGAGGGGCAACAGAATAGTAAACTAGCAACCGAGAAGAAAGAAGAAAATACTCAAACAACATGGGATAAGAAACAGACAGAAAAAGAAGAGCCGCCAGAAGATGGGGGGGAAGAAATAAGAGACGAAAACGAAAGAACAAAAGAGACACGTAAACAGATGCCAGAGAAGAAAGATAAATTTAAAGGTAACCCTCTCGCGCAAGACTTGCAAAGGAGTGAAAGGAAGAAACCCAAACTCTCTGAAGAGACAGAAAGACAAAAGGTAAAACCAGTCGTTGAGAAGAAAGTAGAAACAAAAGAAAAGTTTTTACAGAAAAGCCGGGTTGGTGTTGAAAGTAAGAAGATCAAGTCGAATGCTGAACACGTTATAACCCAGAAGAACATCGGAGTGGTAGAAAAGAAGACAAAAGTTCAAGATGCGTCTCCTCTCAATGAGTTGCCGGGAGATGAGAAGAAGAAAGAAACGCCTGATAAAGACGAGGGGCAACAGAAAAGTAAACAAACAGAAAAGAAAGAACCACCAAAAGATGGGAAGGCAGAAACAGAAGATGAGAACGAAAGAGAAAAAGAGACACGTCGACTGATGTCAGAGAAGAAAAATAAATTTAAAGGAAATCCTTTGTCACAAGAACTACAAAGAAGTGAAAGGAAGAAACCCAAAATTTCCGAGGATACAGAAAGGCAAAAGGAAAAACATAACGTAGAGAAGAAAGTAGAAACGAAAGATAAATCTTTATCCAAAAAACGGACAGGAGTTGAAAGTAAGATGATCAAGTCCACTGCTGAAGTCGTCATGACAAAAAAGAATATCGAGACGGTACAGAAGAAGGGAGACATGGAGGAGAAATATTCTCCTATGGTCACTGATAAACAAGAGAGTATCGAGAAAAGAGGAAAGAAAGAAGACACGAAAGAGGAAATCGAAGAAAAAGAACCAGATGAAATTACAAACGAGGAACCGGAAAAGGAGAACAAGAATGTTGAAGAAAAGTCAGAGGAAAGCCCCCCAGTTATTTCCCCCAAAGAGTCGACAAAAGGTGGAAAGAAGAAAGCCACACCTAGTGTGGAGGCACAGAAGCAGACGAGTAAGACTAAACAGGAGTCAGCTGAGAAGGAGGAAAGAAAACAAAACTCTCCTGTCAAAGAAGAGGCAGATGGTGAACTGGCGAAACACACTGTTATTCAAGACGAAGAAAACAAGAAGAGTGAAAAGATGGGAGGGAAGAGAACAGAAATGAAAGAAGTACCTCCAAAGAAGCAGAAAAAGCCAAGAAAGGAAGAAAAAGAGGGTCACAAGGAAGTGAACAAACATGATACTGAACAATCGGAAAGGAAGACAGAGGAAACAAAGGTAACACCACCCGAAATACAACCGAGCGAAGATAGACAGAAGAGTTCACAAGAAAAACTTAACAGTGAACCGGTGGATGAAAAGAAGGAAGAAAACCAAGAAAATGTAACACAGAAAGAATTCAAGAAAGAACAAAAGAAGGAAAAGAATGACGGTAAAAAGGTAGTAGAGAAACAAAATGACGAACCCGTGAGAGGGTTGGAAGAAGAGGAGAAGCAGAAAGATGAGCATGAGGACAAACAGATCGAAGAGGAGAAAGAGAAAAAGGAAGAAGAGGTTTCAGAACAGAAACAAACAGAATATGAACAGAAAATGAATGAGACTGACGAGGGTAAGCGAAAACAGCTAAGCAAAGAGAAAAAATCGAAGAAAAAACAGAAGAGCGAAAAACCTTCTATGAGTGAACCAGCTGAAAATATTGAAAAAGATAGTAAAGATGACCTTGAGAATAGCAAAGTTATAGAGACGAGTAATCATGTCAATGAAAAGAGTAAAGACAGTAAATCTGTTGAAGAAACTGATGTGAAAAAGCCAAAAGAGGAGGAACAGAAGAAAGAAGAAAGGGAAGAGATGTCTGCTCAAAGTGAAAAGATGGAGGATGAAAAGAGAGAAGATGAAACTGAAAACGAAAAGGCAGGGACGACGACTGAACAGCCTATAAGTGTTAACGATGAACAAAGCTCCCGGTCTCAGGATAAAGACTTGACAGAGGAAATAAAGAAAGAAGAAGAAGAGGTAGCTGACGAAATGGAGAAGGACGTAAGTGTAAGGGAGGAAGATGAGAACAAAGAAGCATCAAAGGATACAGCAAATACTGCAGATAATGTCGGAAAGGAAGAAACGAAAAGAAGTGAAGAGAAGAAAGAAGAAAAGAGGAAAAATGAGACTGTTAAAGAAAAAGGAAAACAGCTCGTCCAACAGAAGGGTGTTCACAAGGAGCAAAACAAAGGAAAAACACCAAGGAAAGACACAAAAGGCGAACAAAAGAAGACAAAAGAAGTTACAAACGATCCAAGGAAACGGAAGGCAAAACAGGAGGACGGAAAGACAGAAGACATGGAAGAAAAATCTCCTCAGAAAAAACAGAGAGCAGATGGGAAGAAGAAACCTGAGACTGGTGAAGATACCATGAAAAAGAGGACGAGAGATACAAGTAAGGAACCGAGGAAAAGAAAGATGATGCAGAAGGGAGGGAAGAAAGAAGACGAGACAAAGAATAACGAGGCAGAGGCTGAAAAGGAGAAAGAAAAGGAGAAACAAGAAGAGAAAGAAGAAGAAAAAAAAGTCACGTCTTTAGAAGAGGATGAGAAGAAAGGAGAAGACGTAAAGGAGGAAGAAAAGACAGATGAAGATAAACAAGAGGCAGAGGAAGATGAAGACAAAGAAAAAGGAACAGAGGAAGATGAAGACAAAGAAAAAGGAACAGAGGAAGAAGCTGATATCGAAAATGTGGAAGAAATTATAGAGAATGAGGAGGGCAAAGAAGATGTTCCAGAAACAGTGGAGCAAGGTACAGAAGAAGCCAAAGACGAAGCTGATACAGAGAACGAACCCCAGACGGAAGAAGCAGAAGAGAAGGAAGAAGAAGAAGAAGGTGCAGAAGAAAAAGAAGAAGCTGACGAGGACAGCATCGAAGATGGCGATGATCTGGTTGCTCTTCAAATCGAGAGAGAAGTTCGTTCTATGCGATCAGGTAAGTCATACAATCTAAATTTTAAAAAAAAGGAAGAATAAAAGTTTTTAAATGAGTAACGCTTGCATGATCTTAAAAACGTTTTCATATAGTTCCATGTTATCTCTCTGAATTATTAGGTAGGGAAAGACCCAGTCACGTCCCCTATCTCACTTTATTTCTCAAGAAAAAATGATATCATTATTTATATATAACATAACAATATTATGCAAAGACTTAACGAATACATTTTTAAAAAGCAACACAACACTCTGTAACAAAAAAACTTTAGGTCTTCTCAATTGGGAACTCAACCCAGATTCATGTGTACTTTCATTATCATTATCGTGATCAGGTTTTCTCACCCCTATGCCGAAATGTAGGCCACTAGCAATAGCTCTCAATTCTCTCATGTCCTGTGCTATAGTCTGCACATGTTATGTCCTGTTGTATCCCACCTCTTTCAGGTCATCACCTAGGTGCTTCTTCTAAGTACTGTTAAACCTACTTCACCTTTTGTTTCTTTGTGAATTACCTCTTAAGGTTTGACAGGTAATACCTGTTTACTTTTTCTGTTTCCAGCTGCGCCCTATCCGCTTCTTTTTCTCGTTCTGATTTCTATCTATTTTCCGTATATTATCCTAAACTACATCTAACCTAACTTCTACAAAAAAGAGGGGGTAGGAGAATGATTTTTAACAAAGAAACCAAAATGTAATGGCTTGACAATACGAATATTTTTTTTTTAAATTTCTCTTTCCTCTAACTCTCTCTCACTCTCTCTCACTCTCTCTCACTCTCTCTCTCTCTCCCCCCCCCCTCTCTCTCTCTCTCTCTCTCTCTCTCTCTCTCTCTCTCTCTCTCTCTCTCTCGCTCGCTCGCTCTCTTGCTCCCCCTCCCCCCACCCCTTCACCTACCCCTTTCCTATACTAATTCGATTTGTTTTTCAGACTATTACAGTGATCTGAACCAGGCCCCTGAAGTCATCAGGCGAGGTACAAGGCTACTGGCTGCCCTGCGGAAGCACTCGGACACCTCCACCTGGTCTCGAAGACGTCTGCGATGGTTCGCCGCCGCTCACAGCTTCATGGGCACCGCCCACAGTGACATCAAAGAGTTTGCCAAGGCCAGGTCACACCACGAGACGGACTACAAGATTGGGGAAGGAATGTGAGTAGACGGGGTGTGGTAGCTGGGATGGCTGGAAGGGGCTGGGTGCGTGGAGATGTGAAATGATGGTAGTGTATTTGGGTGGATGAGTTTGTGAATGGGTGGATGGATGGATGTGTCGGTGGGAGGATGGACGGATAAACATATGGATGGATGGATAGATGGATGAAAGGAAGGATAGGTATATTTTTGTGTATTAATATAGATAGATAGATAGATAGATAGATAGATAGATAGATAGATAGATAGATAGATAGAACGATCGATCGATCGATCCATCGACAGATAGTTATATAGAAAAGGAGAGAGAAAAAGAGAGAAGGAAAAGAGAGAGTGAGTGAATGAGAGAGAGAAGAAGAAAAGAGAGAGAGAGAGAGAGAGAGAGAGAGAGAGAGAGAGAGAGAGAGAGGGAGAGAGAGAGAGAGAGAGAGAGGAAGAGAGAGAAAGGGGAGGCAGTAAACTGTTAAACCGATAACATTTAACAGGAGAATGGTGATGAATGATCTGGGCTTCAGTGGGTGATATTCCTGTTAATTTGAAGAATAATTTGTCAGCAACAAGAATGGATGTCTTGAAAATGTGCCAAAACTAATACGAATTGGTGCCACTTTTTTGTTCTGTCAGAGGTGACGACAAGATTCAGTCTAGGGCCTTGGAGCAGTTGGCAAGAGTTTACATCAAAGAGGGAAACCAGATGAAAGCTTTAGAGAAGTAAGTTTTGTTTCTCGATATTGGCTGTTGGGTCTTCTTTCACAGTTAGTATTTTGTGTTGTTGTTGTAATAATTACTATAAGAACTAGTAAAAAAAAATACCCGTTCTACGAACGGAATAATAATGAAGAAGCATTAGGAAAATTAAGAACAGGAAAAAGACTGAAAACAAGAAAGAAACAAAACATAAATATTTTACCTTGAATTTAACCATGTAGCAACAACTCTTGACTACCTCTAGGGGTAAGACTTCTTCCCCCTCTTCGAAGGCGTGGCATTTTTCCTTAAGTTCCAGCTCAATCACTTTTTAAAAAAAGAGTTAGGCCTACATGCCTATTGTTGCTTCCAAGAAGAAACTAATCTAGATTCTAGACATAGGCCAATAATTGAAAGAAGAAGCCTAGGCCCATAGATAGATCTAAGTTTAGAAATTCACATTTTTAACAACCGACAGGCGTCACAGATGGCCAAGACTTCTAGATCTATTCACAGCAGGAAAAATCCACTTTCAAGAATACTTTCATGATTCTTGATCTCGATCTAGATTCACCGACAGCCTAGTTCTAGACTCTAGATCTATTCACAGCAGGAAAAAACATCCACGTTCAATACTTTCATCATTCTTGATCTCGATCTAAGATTCACATATAGATCTAGCCTAGATCTAAATCTTAGAATTCAAAATTATAATGCACAGCAAGAAAAATCCACGTTCAATATTCAATAGGTTATCGAAATATCACAGATCTAGATTCCATTTTCATTTCATGATTCTTCTTGATCTCTATTTAGATCTAGATTCTAGATCTTGATCTCACATAGACACTGCACAAAATACACTCATCCTTCGGCGCGCTAAATCCACTGCATGATAAATTTACTTTCAATACTTTCATGATTTTTTATCTTGATCTAGATTAGATATTAGATCTAGACATAGATCTAGATCTACATACGAACACACAGTACACAAAATGTCTTTCGGCGCAGTTGGGCGTGAGCGCTAAATCCACTGCAGGAGAAATCTACTTTCAATACTTCCATGATTTTTTATCTGGATCTAGATATTAGATCTAGACATACGCACACATGCAACTACACACAGGGCACAAACAGGGCTACAATTGGCGAATCTTTTACTTTGACCCATGAATACATTAAGTAGGCCTACGGTGAGCTACTCTAGGCGCTTTCGACGACACCCTCCTTGTCACTCTCACCACCCACCCTCTGCAGTGCTTTCTGGCCTCCTCTCTTTCTTCCTCTCTCTTTCTCTCTCTCTCTTTCTCTCTCTCTCTCTCTCTCTCTCTCTCTCTCTCTCTCTCCCTATCTCCCTATCTCTCTCTCTCTCTCTCTCTCTCTCTCTCTCTCTCTCTCTCTCTCTCTCTCTCCCCCCCAAGGTAGGGTAACAAACGAAAAAGTCACCACTTTGTAAAATGCTTCTCCTTTTCCTTCTCCTTCTCCTTCTTCTTCTTCTTCTTCTTCTTCTTCTTCTTCTTCTTCTTCTTCTTCTTCTTCTTCTTCTTCTTCTTCTTCTTCTTCGTCTTCTTCTTCTTCTTCATTACTCCTCCTCTTCCATTTACACCTACACCTCCTCCTCTGCTTCCTCCTACTCCTCCTTCTTCTTCAATGAGCGCTCCAAACCCGATGTAAGAAGACGGTCATAGGCGTGAGACCGAAACTGGGAATTCCTGTAAACCTACTTATTGTATAACTGAACACAAAATATCCTTCGGCGCAGTCGGCACTCCGCAGTGAATAATACAAAGTCAAAGGAAATGATTGCGATCGCTACAAAAGGACTGGATTTAACCTTAAATGGGCTTTCTTCTTACACATTTGATCGTAATGAAAATACAAAAGTGCAACACTACGTTTCAAGTTATGGGTCTGGCAAAGTTTCATAATTTGTTCATTTGGCATTTTCTGAGAATATACTGTTAGCAAAATTTGGCCTTAGCTCCTTTAGTAGTAAGGTGGTAGTTAAGTATCATCAGGCAGTTATTCGGACGAGTGGAGGTGCCGCGCTCTCGCTCGAAGATTTCTTCGTGGAGTCCACCAGGCCCATTAAGGAAACAACCCAAAAAAATCCTCATGTTTATCATTGAAGGTAATTCAAATTCAACGTTGAGAGACGTTGGCATCTCTTAATCTCAGACTGAAATAACAAATGTTTATCTTGATCAATTCATCTTGATGGGGGTAACTAATAGTCACTGCTGCCCCCTCCCTTATTTCTCCATTGTCTTAAAATTTTCTCGCGAAATGTTAGAATTATACTAGTAGCACAAAGTAAACTACAATTCAATACATCACATGTTATCCCACTGTCTGATCAAATAAAATCTGTATCTTCCTCTATATTTTTATTTCCTTATATTTAACTTTATCCAACCGTACTCTTTTCCCCTCCTCAGTCTGGCAAAACGTGCACAGCTCCCCCGAGACAGCGAAGAGAGTGCTAGACTGTTCCACAAGATGGCTAACTGCTATCTGAAGGTAAACAAACGGCCTTTTTCCCTTCTCCTTTATGCGTCCTATGTCTGCAGTTCTGTCTGTCTGTGTAACCTTCTGTTTTTCTTTTGTCTTTACGTCTGTCTATCTGCCCATCTGCCAGTCTATGTTTAAATCTCTGCCTGCAAATATCTGTCCTTCTATTTGTCTGTCTGTCTGTCTGTTTGTCTTGTTTCCCCCCCCCCCTCTATCTCTCTTTCTCTCTCTCTCTCTCGCTCTGTCTACCTCTCTTTTTTACCCTTTTCTCTCTTCCTGTCCAATCCCTGCCTGTCATCCCTATCCTTTTTTTCTTTTATTTGACTATTTATTTATACATTTGTTTTGTCTTCAACAGGAGGGCGCTGTAGAGTTCGCCCGGGACTCCGCAAAGGAATCCATCACAGCTGCCGAACAGTGCGATAACGCAATGTACTACATGCATTCCACGATGATCTTAGCAGTCTGTCTGAGTAAGTAGTTTGCGACCACTGGTGTTTATGGTTAGGGGTTAGGCGTTTCGTTCCGGCACACAAAAGCTGTGAGTTCAGTTCTCATGTGGGGAGGTAATATTATGTCTCAGTCTGTCTACTGGGATGCCTTGTCTCCCTGGCTAGCTTCCTGGGTAATCTAAATTTGTGTCCATCGCCATTTGAAACCAATGTATACGTGTTCCTTCTTTCCTCTTCTGTCATGCCATCCGCCCCCAGTTTTGTTGCACTCCCCTTGGTTATACGAAGTGTAGTCGTTTATATAATCTTACAAGAAAGCTGTGGCCTCAACCCTTCTGGCAAGAACACACTGTCTTACTCATAAATTGGGCTAATGGGCTAATAATATATACAATTAAAATTAAATTTTCCAACTGGCTTAGGACATTTAGTGAAAAATCATCCTCTTGTACGCAGATCTTAATATTTCAATGTGATGACATTACAGGTGGATGGACGAATGTAGTATGGATGGATGGATGCAGGAACAGATGAGTGCATAGGTGTATCACTCTTGTTAGTCTCGTGTCCATGTACCTGTATGCCTCCAGGGATGTTTGTCGACATGGGGTACTTAGGGTTGTAATAAATATAACGGAGATAGATTCTGATGTCTCGTTATCCACTGACCATCGTTTCATTCACAGGTAATCAAACCAGTGACATGTTATGTCTATTCAAAAAAGAGAGTATTTCATATGCTTTCTTTTGACGGGTGCTTTTCTAGCTTTGTCTCTTCGTTGCTCCAATTCATTTTTTGTTTTCTGGATTATTTTTTGGGGTTTTTTTTTCTTTTCTTGGTCATGTACTTCATGGAAAACTGATTGTTTTAAAAGAATGCATTGATATCTCTTTGTTCAACCATTTAGTACTACTTAATAAAAAAAAAGATGAATAATAATAAAGGTGTCAAGCATCAAAATATACATATTTCTGTAAGCAAAATCATATTTTTTTATGATGCCTGTTTTCAAAATACGTTACTTCTCGCAGTCCACGAAAGGAGATGTTGGGCGAAAATAGACACCACCAAATTTGTACATTTTGAATGGATGTCATTTTCTTCAATGGTCTTTTATCATTTCATAAAATAAATTGTACAAACGAAGCCTACAACTTTCATGTATCTATTTGTATTCCGAAAGTCCGATAACTCATAGTTTTGTCACCACGCCTCACATTTGTACGTTCATCATTGTTAAGCGCCTTCATTTAAAGTGGTGTTTTTTCTATAAAATTAAATATCTAATTATTTTTTAAAAATTTTCTTGTCTTCTTCTTCCAGCAAAACTTCAGGACTACGACGGTGCTAAAGCAAAGTTCGAAAGAGCTCTTCTCGTGGCAGAAGCTATAAGTACGTCCTTTTTTCTCAACGTTTTCAGAACACAACATTCCTCAGTTCAGACCTTGTGTTGGGATACTAAGGGCAAATTTCACCAGTGAGGTGTTTAGATGTTCCAGGCGCAGATTTTTGATAATTTTGAAAATCAAATTTGCAGTCTGTTAATCTGCAGTGTCGGTTGCATGTGTTTGAGAAATATTTGTACAAATTCAAAATTTAAATTTAAAAAATAAGCAAAAAACCTGCGTAATGTAGGTATGAATTTTTGAAAAATGAAACAGTTTTTCCCATCTCCTGAAAAAAATATTGCTTTTCAGGATTAGAACAGTTGAAAAACTCGACAAGGTTGTATCAGTAGGTGAAGATATAGTTTATAGGTTTCCACGAAAACGCATAGTTAGGTCTCATGAAACTACAAAAAGGGAGGGGGCGGGGAGAAGGAGAGGAGTCATGACATTTATAGTTGTTTTATAGACTTATAAAAGTGATGTTAACTTTCACGGTGGAAAGTTAATTTATCGATTACCTCTGCTTATGTGCTGGTCTGTTGTATCCGACCCAGGTCTGGTTGGCCCTGACAGGCAGGGTCGAAGCAATCCGCCTTAAACTGATCTAAATAGTGCCAGTGAGACAATAAAAAAAAACCAAAAACAAAAACAATACATTATGTATCTAAACAACGACATCTGAAGTATGTGTCTCATCTAATAAGAGACCATGTTTGCAATATGTGCACCGCTTCTTCTTTTAGCTTTGGCCAGTAGTTGGCAGTTGCCTGTTGGACGTTTCTGTCTAAATAAAAGGAAAAATGAAATTTAACTATAATAAATATTTCCAATAAAGTCCATTCTGTCTCTTGTCATTCTGCCTGCCTGGCTTCAAGTCAGGTTTCCATGTCGTGTTCCCATGTTCTGTTAGATCTTCCCCTTCCTCTCATGCCTTCTATTTTTGCTTCAAGAATATGTTTCTCGAGTGAATCTTTGCTTTTGATATAACCAAAGTAGTTACGTTTCGGTTTCGGTATGCTCTAGAGGAGTATTGGTATTTCTTTGTCAATTATTCTTAGACCTTTTTAATACTTTAGGTACATGTACTGTCACTTGAGCTAAAAATCTATCGATGCGACAATGTTTATTTACTTGAAGTTAGAAAAAGAGATATTTGAGTGCTTAGAGAGCACCACTTGTTCATATCGGTCGTGTTTCTTGACTTTCCTTCTTATGTTTCTGTTTGTCTTTGTACGTTTTCCTTGCTCCAAATGACCAGTAGTGTGAAGTCGTGCTTCTCTTGACTCAAACCAACAGCGACACATACAGATAAAACTAAGGGAGAAAAAGAACGAAGGTAATATCTGTTATCTAGTAACAACGCCTTCGAAACTCTATTCCTCTTTAAATAAATTAAAACGACAGGTATTTGTCTCTTTTGTGATAAAGGCACTAAAGCAATTGATTATGCTGACATATACATTTAAAAAAATTTCTACTTTCAGATGACTATCGGAGTGAGAAGTCAATCAGAGACGCCCTGGCGGAGTTAGAGGTGAAAATCGCCACAAAAGTCTCCGAAAATGAGCAAGAAAATCAAGGAGAGTTTTGAAAATGAAAAGAAAAGGGAACTGAACATACATACGCTGGGCTTGAGATGAGCAGTGAAGAGTTTTTAATACTTTTTTGTCAATGTATTATCATTAGGTCAAGAGTGTTTCTCATGTATTGTTTATTGCTTTGACTTATTTCTAAAGAAGAAATTATACAACCGCCCTGCAAAATGAGCACCAATTGTAATATGTTATGTACTTAACTGCATCATTTGAATTTCATTATCATGCAATGCCTTTTGACTGCCCTTCACCTTTAGAGAGATTTGAAGTAGATAGAGAAAATGTATAAACGATTTGTATTATGTTAGCTAATTTGTCACCTTTGATATAAGTATGTAAAGTATTTTTTTTTGGATAAACTATTCTTTTCTGTAATAAAACCCCACACTTATGTCTGTTGACGATTTGATAGAGAACACATTACTGTATTCTTAATGCTTTGGTTTGTAAGACTTTGGTTTATGGGTATTTGTGTATGTGTACATATTATGATCCTGTTCCCCTGTCTGAGAATATTAAACGAATATGAAGAAATAATTGTTTTGTTTTTCTTTTGTTTGTTTTCAAGTAATTTCTTTGACTTAAACAGAAAGATTGCTGGTTTGTTATTGGGTTGTTGCTTCAATTTTTTCTTGTGTGCCGGGTATTCAGTTTTTCTATCCTATCAAAATAAATCTTCCGTCCGAAATTAATATCACCACACAATCCAAATTCATTCGGTGGACTCTTTCATGGGAAATACTGTTTCGTTTATCAAGCCTAGGATGTTTGAAAATAATACAACACTCTGACACCTGGATCTTGTGGACTTCTTATATTGCTCGTATATTATTTATTTTTCAGCGTCAGGGCACGTATTTGCTTTCTGACATCATAATAATTTATAAACTCCAGCTCAAAAATAAATTGCTTGACACACTTTGGCAACGTCTTCGAACTCAGGGATCATGCTACTGAAGATATCACGAGGACAGCGCTTCATATAACCAGATCCGGACCTGCACTCAAGGTAGTACCCTGGAGCTGGCCTGAATGGGGAGATATACGTAGGCTGGGACGTGTGCGAGCAAAATCCTGGGGAAATAAAGGGGGAACAGGAGTATGAGTACAATGTCATTTGTTACCTGTCTTCTTTTACTGTATTCCTCTGTTGGTGGCCAAGTCCGAGCCTAAACAGGTATATATTATCTACCTATCTCCTAGCTTTGTAGCATTACTTCATGAAGTTGTCGGATTTTATGTTTTCAATGTGTGATGAAAAATATCCTCCCTTATTTATCTGGGGTTTTAAAATAGATTATGAATAGTAAAATTACACTTAAAAGTAATACTTTTCTCTCTCTCTCTCTCTCTCTCTCTCTCTCTCTCTCTCTCTCTCTCTCTCTCTCTCTCTCTCTCTCCCCCCAGTCCCTGTTTCGTAGTATCCCCCATATCAATACTAACACGCGCTCACATACATAATGTACACAGTTTTCAACCCAAAAGGAAACGAACTGGTAATTGTATAATAAACTGTACAATCTTTTTTGTGAGCAAACAGAGGTGACTCTGGTAATTGAATATTTCAATTTTGAGAGGAACCTTGTTTTTTGTTTTGTTTTTAAAAAAATAAAAGATTTCATAATATTATAGAGGGCTTAGGCAAAGAGAAATAAATAGGGAAAGGTGGAAGGGCCTATTGTTGCTTCCAAGAAGAAACTAATCTAGATTCTAGACATAGGCCAAT